TGAATAGTATTTCAGACACCCTAGTTTACTGAGAGGGTGTCTAGATCTTGAGGTGTTAATAGGCGGACACACTACCCTTATCAATTGACCTAGCTCTCACATTTTGCTCGTAATTCAGCACTTGCTAATTAAATTCTATGTTTTTAATTTGGTAATGGCGTTATTGTGTAAGAAACAAGTTCTAACAATTGTTCAAAGCAAGTTCTCTATATCTTTGCTTTCCTATTTGATTCCATGAACGAGTGAAGACTAACCATTAGTTAAATATTGGGAGGGGAACCAAAGATAATCACTAATCATCCTCTCCAAATTAAGGTGATATGCGGAGAAACCCATGTAAACCAAATTATTCACGTTAGCTAAGATTCCAAGACAACCATTTTCAAGCATCAAAACATGCAATGTACTTATCTGTTAAATTACGAGCTGTATGTTTATTTGTTCTCGAAAGATGGTATAAAAATGACCAACATGGTAAAAAAACTATCATGCAAATTAAAATGTCTAGATTTTCAAAGTTAAAGCTCCAATAATGCACAGCAGCACATGTGTATTTTATCTTCTCAGACAATTATAGGCCCTGGGAACTGGCATTAAAAACAATATGAACTTCACATGTAAATTGTCAGGTTTATATAATTTCTAATTTTTCCAACGAATTACAGTAAATTCTGATAAAAAAGTTTAAAAAAATGGGTAAATTATATAAAACTATCTCAATTATTGGGTCAGTCACAGTTTCATACCTCATCTTTAAATTTTTTTAATGTCATACCTCATCTACGAATTTTTTACAATTTCATACTTTTCGTTAGTTTGCCTGTCAATTCTTCTGTTAAATAGTGACGTGGCTTGAGACATGACCAACTCTCTATTAAAAAATTAATTAAATATTAAAAACTAATTTTTTTTTACATGAGGGACCCACCCCTTACCCCCTCACCCTTTCTTCCCCCTCCCGTCTTCCCCAAACCCAAATCCCACCCCACTTCTCGTTTTCATCATCCTCCTCTCACTCCGACAAGCCCTTCCCTTTCAGCCAGTGGACACTGAACTTGGGTTTTTTGAGCCGGGTCGACCCGGTCCCCGATAACGCGGCGGATCTTTGCCGTTTATGCTGACAGAACTTGATTTTAAGGCAGCTGATGAGAATGGCGCGCAGCTCCAGCGGGTCTTACCCTTAGCTATGACGATGAGAACTTTGTCGGCGGCCTCATGAATGGCTCGGCCGCGTCGTGGAGTGGAAGAAGAAGCAGTGTAGTTGGCGGCAGCGGTGGATGAGTCGGGTGCCGAGTTAATGGAGGCTTGGGTGAGGGCGTGGAGGAGCTTGGAGGAGTAGAGGTGCTACTGGGCCTCCGACTTCCACTTGGCGTGGTTGTGGGCGGGTTCTTGGTGGTGGAGGTGGTCCTGCTTAGGTTGGATTTTCTTCTTCTTTTTCCTTCTAGAAGAATCCCGAGCTCGATCGAAGGTGGCTATGGGAGAGTCGATGCCATGGGTTTGATTCTCCTTTAATATGGGATTCAATTAAATGGAAGTTTTGGAGGGGGATTTGGTTTTCTATTAATCAAACGGAGAGGAATAGAAATGGAATGGTTTGGAATGTTCTTGGAGGGGGATTTGGGTTTTTTAATAACGGAGGAGAAGGGAAGAGAGAGAGAGTGAGAGAGAGAGAGGAGTGAGAGGAGGATGATGAAAACGAGAAGCTGCTCCATCATTGATTGCTGGCTAGGGAGGGTGAGGGGGTAGATGTTAGGGCGGGTGGGATCTGGGTTTGGGTTGAGGAAGAAGGGGAGGGGGGTTAAGGGGTGGATCCCACATGCAAAAAAATATATGTTAAAATATTTTATTTTTTATTTTAATTAATTTTTTAATCGAGAGTGGGTGTGTGCTGTCTCAAATCATGTCACTATTTAACAGAAGAATTGACAGACAAACTGATGAAAGGTATGAAATTGTAAAACAATCGTAGATGAGGTATAACATTGAAATTTTTTTTAAGATGTGGTATGAAATTGTAACTGACCCAATAACTGAGGTAGTTTTATGTAATTTACCAAAAAAAAAAAATTATCTTAAAAAACAATGACACATATTATTACTAACTGTACCTATTGTAGCTCAACTAATTGCAGAGAAAACCCTGCATGAGCACAAGATATATATATATTAGACCAAACATTAAAGATAAGGAAGAATTATAGTTATCTAATATTTGGAAAGCATGGGACGAACTGGGATTTTTGTTCTGGGAACCAGTTTAGGCAAAGCATTCATCTTTTTGTCTTAGTGCCCTAGTCTCCTTTCTGATAGATAGGAAAAATATATGGTACTGCATTACTATTTTTTTTACTTCGAAACTAGCGAGTCTCAGTTCCTTGAATTACACAAGGCATTGATTCTTGAAATTAATTCATGTTTTAGACCACACGATATAAAGCAGATTAGGGTTTTATGGACGGATAGTGATTTTTTACCCTCTCATTTTCTCCCATGCACACTCCTTTATTTTTTCTAGCCTTTCAATTCAATAAATTTAATGAGAATTAAGCGAAAAATTACATGCAGAAAAAATGAGAACGTGAAAATCATTACTCTTTGAGAACAACCCAACTGAGAGCTAAGAGCAAGTCCATCCCTAAAAAATGACTTAGCCCAAAGTCCATTTAATCCACCCAAATTAATAGTAATTGATTTGATTGAACAATAATTGGTCAAGTGCATATCTGACACACCCCGACCTGGGAAGGTTGAAGCATGCTGGCCATCACCGTGAGGTGACATAACCATAAGGGTAAGTGATGTGAAAAAAGTGAATAAATTTAAACCTAAAAGTGCCTAAAACAAAAGAGTGTGCGGTGTGAGCGAGATTGCACCCATTTCACACGTGATGGTAGAGCATAAGAACAATACATTAATTAGGGTGAGGGTTATACCACTAAGGTACCCATCTACTAAGATCTTGCCAGAGTCCTCGTTTACAAGCAAGCATAGCTACTAAACCTGGAGGGGCGAAAAACAAAGTTGAGTGGGTCAGTAAAACAACGTTTTGTAAATACCTTTATTTCCAAATATACTAACCCCTCGCCGTAAAACAAGTATAGTTCCCTTAAAACATACTATGTAAGTATGTAAACAATAATACAACATTATAACCAAAAATATGCCAAGTCATGATATATCAAATGCCACAGTAATGTAATAATGTGATAATTAAGTATAGCAAAGTGTTCATCCATCTAGGTTGACTGACACACAAGTTCGAACAGATAATTTCTGACACGAACATGATTGGGTGTAATTAATATGCTCTAGTACTACGATCACGTGAAGGCTGGTGCAGAAGCACAGTCACATACAAATCGGATTGCCTAATGCAATCTACCCGACAGGACTGGCACATAACTTGGATCCAAGACGAGCGAACGGTGCAATGTGAACATACACGTGAAGGACTAGCCCTAGCCTTGGGGCGAGTACTAACACTAGTGCAGCAAGATGATCATTTACAAATATATATATATATATATATATATATATATATATATATATAGGAATGTCATGACAGTAATATCCCAACCATATAGCAGCATTTATCACAAGAACGATTCTTGGCAAATTAAGCGTAAAAGTGAAGTAAATACGCATTTATGGAAACTATAAATATGTATAAGTATAAAAACAAACTGCCCTCTCACAAGTAAGTTGCTGGGTCGTAGCCCCCAAGCCTAGCTTGGCCTCGAACGTCCTTGGGATATGTTTCCCCTATATGTGAAATAACTAAAATAGAATTAATTAAAGCACATATACAGATACCTAAATAAAACTCTCATAGTTTGCTCAAACCTAGGGTTTAAATATATGAAATCGATCTACTCGACGTCACGGACACACACTTGTCGACCACATGCCGGCCGGAGGCCGGACGCGCCGTCACGCGCTGCCACAAATGGCTGCACAACCTGCCACGCGCTGCACGCACTGATGGCATGTAAGTGGTCACGCGCGTTCATGCTCTTGCGAGTACGCGTGTACAAGCCTTCTTCACGATTTTTTGTAGTTTTTTGAAGATTTTTAGGCCAACTTCCCAAGCCCCTAATGAGCTCGATTCTCAACCAAAAACACTTTTACAAAAGCTAAATTAAAGTTAGGAATGTGATGAATCGATCCATTTTTCACAAACCACATTGTAACATCCCACATCGCTCAAGGGAATGGTTCATGTAAGCCTTATATGTATATTCTCATCTCTACCTAGCACGAGGCCTTTTGGGAGCTCACTGGCTTCGGGTTCCATCAGAACTCCGAAGTTAAGCGAGTTCATGCAAGAGCAATCCCATGATGGGTGACCCACTGGGAAGTTCTTGTGTGAGTTCCTAGAAAACAAAATCTTAAGGGCATGGTCGGGGCCAAAAGTGGACAATATCGTGCTACGGTGGAGTCGAGCTCATGATGTGGTGGGGGCCCGGGGCGAGATGTGACAATTTGGTATCAGAGTTAATCCCTGGTCGGAAGTGTGTCGACGAGGACGTTGGGTCCCTAAGAGGGTGGATTGTAACATCTCACATTGCCCATGGGAGTAGATCATGTAAGCTTTATATGTATATTTTCATCTTTACCTAGTACGAGGCCTTTTGAAAGCTCATTGGTTTCGGGTTCTATCGGAACTCCGAAGTTAAGCGAGTTCATGAGATGAGTGACCCATTGGGAAGTTCTCGTGTGAGTTCTCAGAAACAAAATCTTGAGGGCATGGTCGGGGCCCAAAACAGACAATATTGTGCTACGGTAGAGTCAAGCCTGAGATGTGCTAGGGGCCTGGGCCGAGATGTGACAATATCCACATCTAAAAAATGAGCTGGCCCAAAGTTTAGTCAATTCGTATTAAAATATTATTAATTTTTTAATAAAATAATTAAAAAAAATTATTTTTATTTTCAGATAGAATTTATAACCAATCTTGTCACACCACGTGTCATTTTCCGAAAGCTCAATTTTTTTAGAAGATGGTTAGGTATGTATATATATATAAAAAATTGTTTATTTTTTTTTCTATATTTTTAAACATTTTTTTATTAAGTTAATTAATCTGGACCGTTGGATTTCAAAAAGGTTAAAATCCAACAGCCCAAAAGTGGACACGTGGCCCACGGTGAGAATCTGACATTTTTAAGTTTGGAATGCACGTCCACTCGCACATGTATCCCACAAGCCAGCTGCAAAAAAAAAAAAAAAAAAAAAAAAAAGAATCAG